AGTCAAATGAATCAAAATGATATTATTGAATTAATAAATAGTCAAGCAAGTCAATCACAAGTTTTCAATCTAGTAAAAGTGAAGAAAAAGAAAAATTATGGAAGATTAGTCAAGAGATTGAAGCATAAATTTAAATTGGCGAATGTTATATTACAGAAATCGGATAAATCAAAAGTATTCCATTTAGGTAAAATTGAAGATTATCGTAAGAAATCAAAAGAGTATATAGAAAAAACTCAAGCATATAAATATCTTGGAAATGAAGATCGATTACCTGATTTAATCCAAAGAACAAATAAGTATTTGTTAGATTTACGACTAACTAAATGGATAACTCAAAAACAATATGAATTATTAAGTATAAAACCAAATGAAGTAGAATTGGCGCATTTATATTATTCACCAAAAGTTCATAAATCTGGCACTCCTCAACGTCCAATTATAAGTGGACTTAAACATCCTACAATTAAAATATCAAAATTTCTTGACGATTTATTAAGACCATTATTTGATAAAATGGCCCAAGAAACAACAGTCACTTCTGACTTTAAATTAGTCAAGAAATTAAATGAATGGTCAAAAGTAAATATGAATCAGAATACTATATTCTGTACCATTGATGTTATTGATTTATATACAATGATTCCACAAGTAGAAGGAGTGTTATCATGGAAGAAAATGTTAGATTATCTGAAATTGAAAAAAGCTAATGGCTTTAAAGTAGAAACTATTATTAGATTAAGTCGATTTGTGATGCAAAATAATTATTTTTCTTATGATGGTCAATTTTATCATCAAATTCGAGATGGAGCTATGGGATCTCCGTTAACTTTAACAATTGCTAATTGTTATATGTTCTTCTTTGAACAAGCCCTTGCCAAACAAATTAAGAATGGTGTTGGACTCTATTTTCAATATATCGATGATCTATTTATTGTGATTAATTGGTCCACCAGATATTTATTGAAACAAATCGACAGGTGGAACAAATTTGATGAAAATATCAAGCTAAATGCAAATATTGGCGCATTTATAAATTTTCTTGACTTATACATGGAAAATCGAGATGGTACTCTATTTACTACAGTTTACCAAAAACCATCTTATGAGTCTTATTATTTGCCATTTAATAGTATTCATCCATTACATATGAAAAAGAATATACATTTCACAAGCTACTCTGTGCAATTAGATATTGTTCTACATATCAAACATACTTGGATGAACGTGAAAAATTACGTATAACATTACTATTAAATAAATATCCGAATAAATTTATTGAACAACAATTCAATAGTGTTTTATTAAAATATAGTATTGATGAACCATTAAATATGATTAATTATGATGAATATCGTCAAAACGTGCTAGATTCACCTTCCAAAGAACATGTAAGAATTGATTATGATAAAGTTATGTTTATTCATTTTACTTACTGTTTAAGTATGAAAGCATTTCCTTTAAAATTTCATACATTATGGAGTAAATATTTTGGTGAATCTCCGATTAATGAAATTATACCTGTACTTGGTACACGTAATGTTAAAAATTTATAAAGACAACTTACTAAATATATAAAATATAAATATCAGAATATATAGATTTAAATGTTATTCTTATTATATTCATTTATGATGAAGAATATATGTCCGAATTATAAATGTCTGTTATTGAAAATGTTCGCATTAATATCAAGGACATTTTGGATACAACCAGACGTCCGAATTATAATTGCCTGCCATGACAAGAAACGCGCACAAACAACAAGGGCATTCCGGACACAAAGCTGAAGCACTCGAATTAAACAATATATCAGGGAGTTAGCGGCATCCGTATTGTTGTTATACTACTCCCAAAGCATTAGAATTTATACATATGTTAGAGTTAACGTTATTGGTGTTGTTATTTATTGTACTATTTTTTGAAATTTTGAGGTTGTTCCTATATGCGCCTTTTATGTTGGTTTTTGTTATTATATTATTTGTCTATTCAATGTAGTTTACATTTATCGTTACATTCTTAATTTAGAATAGTTTGTTTTTCATGCAATAATATGTTTTGATCTTTAGTTTTTATTGTAATGCAGAGCCCCGATGAGTGTTTTAAAATTTTAATAAAATAAACACGAAACGCGTCGACGAAATTAAACTCTGCATTTTCTTTTTATTATTTCATAAAGCATTGATATTCAATTTTTCAAATCAATTACAACTTCATTGGTTGCTGAAAAGCAAGAGTTGAGACTAGCTGATTGATTTGTATCGGAAGGATATAGATGGATCTGTTTCTATTTGGCTCTCGTTTTATAAATTCCGAATCAACCAAATTAAGTTTGCTAATCGCATTATCTGCTGTCTATTCTCTTTTATACTAGGTCAATTATTTTAATGCTATACGAAAGTTTTTATTCTAATGCACAACTGTATACATACGATGTTTTAAAAGGCCGAAAGTGAACAATAAAAACCGTAAAGAAATATACTTTGATAAAAAATTACGAGTGAAGTTTTTGGAAGTTTTCCGAAGTCTTTTGTTTTAAAACATTTTTGGTCTTTGAAAAAAAATTTCAATCAAATTCTTTCATGAATTTTTGTACTAGACACTACTCCTTCTAACAAAAAAAAACGATGATATCTCTACAACACTCTATCATGGCGCTATATCAAAAACGAAATCGTTGAAGAATTTTTGCATCATCCGTGATTCATACTCTTTTCTCTCTAGGTTAGATTATAGGGTGTGGGTGAAAACAAGAGTCACATCTACAACACTCTCAAGTTGTATCTGCTATATTAATATTTTGTGCATGACCGTATATTGTAACTTTTACTTTACTATTTCTTGTCGTGAACTTTAGTTGATACTTTGTAATATCAATTAATATGCTCAGAAATAAAAGGTAATATTCTAATTATAAAAATTTCAGTTTCAGAAATAATTAAGAAAGACGAATGCGTCAGTAAAAACTAATGAATTTATAAGTAAACACGATACTAGTCAAGCTTGTATAAACTCGCAGGTTAACTCGCGGACAGCCCGTGACGGGTTAGTAATTCTTCAACCCGAAGAGCAGCAGCCCGCGGGCCGGGTTCGGTCCTAAACGGGTCGGGTTGGCGAGTAGGGTCAAAAAAAACCAGCGATCAATATCTCCATCTGCTATCGTTTTTTTTATGTTTTGAAACTCGAAAATTCGGCTATGGTCGAATAAATCTAGAATATGGCTAAAATACTATGGAGATATTCGACAACTTTCTTTGCTCGTATGACTTCACAACTGGTTTTTGGAATGAATAAAATATTTCACTACTGACGTAAACGATGGCTAGATGGAAGCTGCAATGATAAGTCTAGATCAAGTTAGAGTGCTCCTTACTTAGACTATTCGGAAGACTTAGTTTTGTATGTTTTGTGTACTGATATCAGTAATGTATAGAAAACTTCTCTTTATTAGAATAGATAATTCTTTATTGACGAAAAGATTGTACAGCTGATTAACAGTCATGATTTTCTCACTCATTCTCTTGTTTGTTTTATCTTTCGAAGAAATTACTTTTTCAAAATATAAAAGACATGAACAAACTCAAAAAATGAAATAAAGAAATTTCTAAAAACAAACTGATATTAGTTATTTTATATACTATTATTAGATCACTAGCTTTAAAAAGACTATCTAGGAACTGAAAATGGAATTGGTTTTTTCTCGTTCTTTTTTTTACTAACCCAAACTAGAATCACTGGTACAGCTCTGGTTATAGATATTTCTTGTAATCGCTGGATTCTAATACAATGAAACGAACACCATTAAAAAAAAGAGTTAATAATATATTTGAGATCATTCAGGGATATCGCATATATGATTGATATTATGTATGTTTCATCAGGATGAAAGACTTGTATTAATAAATAAATATCTCATTCATGTTGCTTTTCTTCACCCACCCAAATTTCTTATTTCATATACAATTTCATACAAGTGTGCGCACATTCATATGCACGAAAATGATCACAAAACAAAAAAAAACCAAAAAGAAACATGCAAGAATAAGTCACCCATCATAAACAAAAGACAGACAAATAGACATGACGATACATTGAGACATAATGTGGTAGTATTCAATAAATATAAGCACAGCAAAGATATCAAAGAAAAGAAAGAAAAATTTTCATGTACCTTTCATGATTATTTTTCATTATATTTGTTTCTTTTTTCTTCTCTTCTCTTCTCTTTCGAGGCATTTTATCAGACACACAATGCTGATAGTTGGTGGGACCATCAAATACCAAAAACCTCCTTCGATAATAAACAAGAAAAAAAAAGTGCAATAAGCATAAGTAAAAAAATAAGGGATTCAAAACAAACAAACAAACAAAAAATGCGTGCAATATAGGAGAAATTTCTAACTGTTACATCATAAATGAATTAAGATAAGAAAAGAAAACAGAGATCAATAGTTTAGATCACAGTGCGGAAGTATAGGAATAATAATATTGGTCTTTTGTTCTTCTTAGTGTTTTTATGCCGTATCAAGTCTGATCAATCGTAATTTTGCTGAATCAACAAGTACAGTTGCGGCTTCATTCGTTCCACCACAATAGTGTGATGATGAAAAAACAGTTAACAGACGGCCACTTAATTGTACCTAGAATTTTTCCAATAAGAAAAAATATATATATTTAATTTTTAAAGATAAAATCAAGAAATTTGACA